TCCCTGAGCATAAAACCTTAATCTCAAACTGCTCCCCAGGTGCCGCACAATGGCAGCCCACTGCTCCCCAAGGGGATGGGTTAAATGCAGGGATACATTTCATTGCTCTGTACTTGTCAAAGTGTAATGACAAAAAAGCTGGGGAAAAAAAGTGACCGCGACATGACATTACAGAGAGCAGCCATCAACATTCAGGGCTTATAGGGTGCACTGCTACATGAATACATCTCACTTGACTATTTTCTTACATTGAAAGATTTTTTAAAAAGTAGGAATGCTAAAGATTTGAAACATTTTTTGTATTTTTAAATACATTACAGTGACAGATATGCATTGTGATTATTCTAGAATCATGCTTTTTTCCCCCACATGTAAAACATATATACATATCTGTAGGTTTTGAAGTATTTTTCTTTCTTTTAAAAGCTATGCTCTGATGTAAATCAATTGCTTTGAAAACAAAACATACCAAATAAAAAAGTTTAGGTCTACTCTTTACATTTTGAATAATATAAGTAATAAAAGAACATCTAGCAAAATATTTTGAAATAAGACAGCTTCACTGTCATCATGCAAGTGTACAAAGAGATTAAAAGTTGCTCTTTTTTTAAGTGGAGATGTATGAAAAAATGGGAAAGTAGAATAACCACACACTAGGAGCAACATTGCACAGTGTTACTAATCAATAATAAATATATTACATATTAAATACAGAACATATTGAATAAAAGTGATACACAGATTAAATAAACTAAATAATAACTAATTAGAAATAAAAAAGCCTACAGATTATAAATACAAAACTATAGAACGTGTAGTTGCAATACAATTATCCTCATTTGCAGAAGTTTCAAGAATCATTTGGTAAGGAAATGTACTTAACTGCTAAAAAAAATGCATTTGCTTGATCATTACCATGATCTGCTTTCAATTTGAAAGGAGTTTCTTCTGCTCAAACTCTTACTGTGAAGCAGTTAAAACAGAAAAAGAAAAACATTACGAATAAAAAACTATTTGAAATTAATTATCCTCTCATATAGACCCTGTGCAAACGGTAAAATTATGAACAACAGATTACAGTTACATTTCTAAACAATGAAATATAATGAAACACAAGACTGAAAGATATATTTTTATTTATATATGTTTCTGCAATACTACTATTGTTGGAGCCTTAAGCATAAAGAAATTCTACCTATCAAAATGAAGGCTCCTCTCAGATAAATGTGAAGGAAGCTGAGGTTTTTGTACAGCTGCTGAACTGACTTCAGTCACTGTGTCTCTCGAGCACAATAATAAACAGCAGAATCTTCTGTTCTCAGGCTGTTCATCTGTAGATACACCTGCTGTTTGCTGTTGTCTCTGGAGATGGTAAATCGGCCTTGGACTGACTGAGAATAATAGGTGCTACTACCACTACCACTACTGATATAAGCAAGCCATTCCAGTCCCTTCCCAGGAGCCTGTCTAATCCAGGCCATCCTGTAGCTGCTGAATGTGAATCCAGAGGCTGTACAGGTCAGTCTGTGAGACTCTCCTGGTCTTTTAACCACTGGTTCAGATTCTCTCAGACTTTGACAATAAACACCTGTAAATTATTAAATTCAAGAAACATAATTTTTGTTAAAAAATAGTTTCAGAAAAGCAGACTGATGTTAATCAGTAATTTTAACCTGTAAAGCAGATGATAGAAAACAGCAGCCCTGATCTGTAGTCCATCATGTCTCAGTGGGATTTCTGTCTCTGTCTGTTTGTCACAGTTGTACAAATAGATCTAGAAATGATTAAGCTTTGCATTGACTCCGCCCGTCAGTGAGGCAGGAATTCATATTTAGATCTATGAGGTTAGAGCAATTTAGGTCATATGTTTTGACCGTGTTCTATATTAGTCGGAGTTTTAAGATTTTCTTTACAGTAATTTATGATTAGTAACTTTATTGATTGTTAGATAATGTTTTCTTATTTTAAAGAAATTACCTTAGTATTTATTTTATTTATTTATTTTTTGCTTAAAACAATGAAAAATAAACAATCATGTCAACTATTTCAGGAACTTAAGCAATAGAAACATGGTTTTCCAAAGTCTAGTGATGGAATATCAACAAAATTAACAGCATAGCATCACTGCTGGAATTAACTGGTTTAGTGTAAATCCAAATAGCCATCATCAATCCCACTGTTTTCTCTTCAGGTTGTCAGATCGATTGTTTTCCATACTGACTAAAATTTCTTGATACTTTGTCAAAAATGAGGTGGAAGTAATGGACTCGACAACCTGACTGTTATAACTTAATAAAGAACTAAATTAAAATAGTATATAGTTCAATATAGAAAAAAAGAAAGTGGAATTTTTTTTTTTCCTGGAACAAGTCATTAGCTTACAAGACAGACAGATTATTGGGACAGACAGTCTGATCATCTTCACAAAACTGAAACTGAAGCGGAGAATGAAAATCTTCAACTCTTACAAAACAGAAAGACAGACGGAGGTTGATTGGATGTAATTTCCATTTTCTTTAGAATAAAAGGCAAGTAGGTGTGCTATGTGAATAAATAATGTTTATATAATGAAAGCATTCACCTAAAGACAGAAATAAGACACTCATGAAGACACACACATTCATTCATAAACAAAAAAAAAATTACAGACAATTGAATAATCATCCAAAGAGAAGGTTAATTATACTTATAAGAGCAAAGCAGAGATACTAGAAGAATACAAAAACAAACAGCAAACACAAATGTATTATTATTTAAGAAATGTTATCTATGAAACAAATAAGTCTATGAGTCAATATCATTTATGGTCTAAGAGCACCTACTCTGGTGGGTTAGTAATAATGCAAATGCTCTTTACTCAAGAGCTGGCAGGAGTTCCTCTTTTTTGTTCCACTTTTAACAAACAACATGACAGATTGGACATTATAAGAAACTGCAATAATTTATTTGATTTCAGGTGTAAAGAAGTGTGCTATTTAAAGTACTTGTTCTTCCCTGCAGGGCTCCAAATGACCACAATCCCGATATACTTGTGTCTACTAGAAACACTCTGCTGCTCGTTGCATCAGTGACAAAGACCAGAATCTCCTGATTGATGCTCATCCAAGGTCTATAGATGAGGGAGGAAAGGCCTTTATTCTGAGGATCCTAAACTGTGGAACAGTTTTCCCTCCAACTTCATTCTGCTGGCTTTCTGAGAGTTTCAAAAAAGTTTGTTTTTTTTTTTTTCAGACGATTTTTGTGTTGTGATTATATTGTAATCTGTTCTTACATATTTTTTATACTAAAACTTTAATATCATTAATGGTTTGTGACTTTTGTCAGTATAAGGCAGTTTATAAATGTGGCAGGACCAGTCTGATGTGGCAATGCACAATTCAAATGTAGTACCTACTTAATTAGTAACTACTATTCTAATATACCGTAGATACAATTTATTGCAACAACCCCACATTAAAGTTAACTTTAATGCACTTAGTATGATTATATTTAATTTTATCTGTACTGTTACTGTCTGTTTTTGCTTTTTTGTTTAATTTCAGTCAAAATGTATATATTTAAACATAAGTTGAGAAAAAGTTGCAGGTTAGTCATCTGTGATGGTAAAAAAAAAAACTGAAACCAAGCAGGTTTATCCTTATGTAAAAGAAAGATGCTTTAGTGTCAGATTCTATTTATGTTGGAAATAAAGAGCCATGGTGGGCTTATCTATATAAAATGAAACAAGTATTTAATTACACAGCCTACTATTTTAAACTACTATTTTAATTATATTTTATAAAAAAATAAAATAAAAAAAAAACATGGGACCAAACTGGTATAACAAATTGATTTATTTTAATTATTTAGATTATTTTTAATTATTTAAAACACACAGTGTTCCTCATCAATTTCCAATTTGGACAGGGAAGTTCTTTTGTTAGGACTCTTTTTTTAAAGAAGTTAAAACATAAAAAGAAAAGCATTTATAATGATAAAATATTCAATTAAATAATTATCTCACAAACCAACCTACATATAAACATGGTCAAATTCAGAACAACAGATTACAGGTACATTCCTGAACAGTGAATGAAAATAAAACACAAGATTAAAAGATTTATTTTTCTGTTTTTATAATTTTTTTCTTAACAGTTTCTGCAATAATATCATTGTTGGAGCCTTATGAAGAAAATAAATCCTCACATCAAAATAAAGGCTCCCTTCAGATAACTCTTAAAGAACGTTTTTGTACGACTGCACAACTAAATTCACTCACTTTGTCTCTCGAGCACAATAATAAACAGCAGAATCTTCTGATTTCAGGCCGTTCATCTGCAAATAAAACTGCTGCCTCCTAGTGTCTCTGGAGATGTAAAACCTGCCTCGGACTGACTGAGAGTACCAGGTGCTACCACCACCACTGCTGAGCTGAGCAATCCATTCCAGTCCTTTACCAGGAGCCTCTCTGATCCAATGCATGTAGTAGCATGAACAGGTCAGGTTGTGAGAATCTCCTGGGCTTTTAGCCACTGGTTCAGATTCTCTCAGAGTCTGACAATAAACTCCTGTGAAACAAGAAACATAGTTCATGTGAGGAAACAGTTTCAAAAAGCAGACTGATGTTCTTCCAGCATTTTCTCATCTGTAAAGCAGATGATAGAAAACAGCAGCCCAGACCTGTAGTCCATCATGTCTCAGAGTGATTTCTGCTCTCTGACTGCTTGTTAGACTGACACAAATAGAGCTGGAAATAATTAAGCTTTGGATTGACTGCACTTTTCAGGGAGGGAAAAATTCAAATTTCAATCTATGAGTTAATCCAAATTTAGTTTATACAGTTTGTCAGTGTTTTTAATTAGTGGGATTTTGTTTATCTAATGTGTGATTATATTTGCTTTTTTTAAGGAAATGGCCTCACTAATTAGTCAAAGTAAATTTAGATAAATCAAATAATAGTCAGATAATAATCTATACAACATTTAGGAAGAGCAGTTTCAGACTGAGGAACTTATTGTATTGACAATTTGGATCAAAAGAAAGAAAGTTTAAAGATTTATTTTATATTATTGTTGAAATTACTCTTTCATTAAACACATCTTATGTATAACTTTCGTACTAAATATTTAATGCAGAGTTTACAAATATGCAATGTGGAACGTGTTTTTATGAGAATGTTTTAAAGTCAACATCCTTTAATTATTTGTAGAACATGAGAAATATAGACATGTTCTACCAAAGTACATTGATGGAAGATCAGCAACCAGGTATTAATAACATAACATCACTGCTAGGAAGTAGGTGCACTTATGATTGTCTGTATCTATGAGAGGAGTTTTTGTATAGCCGCTGAGCTCACATTAACCTCTATATGTAACCAGTGACAGTATAACCCACAGTTATTAAACCCTCTGGTTTAATATTGGACAGTTTAAAATACATTATGCTGTTACTGTTGTTTCTATATGTCTGTTACCACAGCCTGAATTAACTGGTTTACTTGAATGCCAAATAGCAGCTATCCATCCTGTTTTTCCTTCAGGTTAGGTGTGCTATCAGAATTATTATTTAGACAAAGTATTTACTTCAGCCAGTTTATTTTTGAAGCAAACTTCAAAAACTTGTGTAAATAAAAAAACAAATGCACAAACTCACAAATTTTACAAAATAAAGTGGAATGAGCATCTATCTACATAGAAGTTTAAGTATAATTAAATGAGAAAGCAAAAAGCATGTAAAAAGTATTTTCATAAATATTTAGTATTTCATGCATCTTCTTCCGCTTATCTGTGGTCGGGTCGCCGGGGTAGCAGCTTCAATAGGGAGGCCCAGATGTCCCTCTCACCAGCCACCTGGGCCAGGTCCTCCGGGGGAATCTCAGGGCGCTCCCAGGCCATCCGAGAAACATAGTCCCTCCAGTGTGTCCTGGGTCTCCCTCTGGGCCTCCTCCTGGTAGGACGTGCCTGGAACACCTCACAAGGGAGATGTCCAGGAGGCATGTTAAACAGATGCCCGAGCCACCTCAACTGGCTCCTCTCGATGTGAAGGAGCAGTGGCTCTACTCTGAGTCCTCCCCGGATGACTGAGCTCTTCACCCTATCTCTAAGGGAGAGCCCAGAAACACTACGGAGAAAACTTATTTCAGCCGCTTATATTGTATTTTAAAAAGATAAATATAAGATTTAGATGTATGACATAAACAACTGCAAAATCACTGTGAGAGCAAAGGCTGTGCACCTATAGCTAAAACTCACATGTCTGGATCATGACTTTTTGTGTCCAAGTCTGAAGCTGTCCATAGTCACTGCTGCCACTCTCTGGTTTAACAGGGAATTGCTTGTTTCCTCCATAAGCCTTAACTCAAGCCTTTAGGTTACAACAGTCAGGTTGTGGAGTCCATCACTTCCACCTCATTCTTGACAAAGCCTCAAGAAATTTTAGTCAGTATGGAAATCGATCAATCTAACAACCTGAAGGTCTTTGGCTCTCAGACCTCGGCAGGATAAATTAGGGATGGATTATTTTGCTTTGATATGCATGAACAGGAGTAGGAATAGGGATGTATACCCCCAGGACTGAAACTGGTGGTGGAGTGGAGATGGATGAAGTTGGTCAGTTCATGGCTGCTGTATGAAGAGATCCAGTGAACTGTATGAGCTGGTACTAGAACTTCACTCTAGGACCTGGAAGAGGAGAATCCAGCTGGATATCACAGTTTGCATGATGAGCAAGCATGAAGCGACAGTGGAGAGGAAAAACTCCCCTTTGGGAAGAAACCTTTGGCAGAACCAGGCTCAACATGGCGGTCTTCTGCCCGACTGGTGGGGATGAGACAGGGAACGCAGCAAGAGTCTGGGAAGAATGTTATTTTTTAATGAAAGCACTCACTTAAACTGCTTTAATTATAGATAATAGAAATAAAACACTCATATACAAACTCAATAACAGTAAAAACTGGGTCTAAAAAACTTATAATCTTCTACAGAGAAGGTTTAGCATGGTTAAAAACAAAGCAGAGATATTAGGGCCATACTAAGGTTAGTTTAAAACATGGACCTACAAAATAAATAATAAGTCTATTATTCAATATCATTTGTGGTATAAGAGCGCCTCCTCTGGTGGGTTAGTAATAATACAAATGGTCTTTACTCAGGAGCTGCAATGAGTTTCTCTTCTTTTGTTCTACTTTTAATAAACAGGATGGCAGATGGAACATTATAATAAACTACAATAAGGTATTTGATGTCTGTGTGTATCTAAGCTCCGTCGTTTGGCCTTCACCATCGCCCAGGACATTCTCTCTAGTTTCTTCATCGGAGCTTTCATGAAAGAACCATTGTTGCTATTGCAATCAGGAGCAAGACCCCTCTTCTGCAGGTCCTTCATGGCATCCTGCGGAGGGGTTTGGAAGCGGAGACCTTTTTCTTTCTTAAGTTTTCTGATAGGGGCGTAGGCTTTCCTCTCCTTTGGGTCTCTGCCGGATATTCCTGGTCGAAATAAACCCGCCGCTGATTGAGGTGTATCACTCTTTTCTTCCACGCCGCGCAAAGCACCAAATCCCTGGTTCTGAATGCCAGAAAAGAGATCACCACGGAGCGGGGGCTCGCACTCTGCTGTGGTTTGGGAGCCAGAGCCCAGTGGCAGTGTTGTATAGCCAGATCGATACCCTGGAGTGACAGCTCAGCCTTAATGAAACCGTCCATGAACTCCAACTGTATCCTCGGGAATCCCATGTTATTTCTACGTGAGCGTGCTTCTAAATCAGTCAGTTTGGCTTGAATTTTATTCTGGTTGTTTATGGTTTGAGACAGCACCTCTTTCGCCGCCGCGGTCCACTCCTCCATTTCTGCCACCCGTTTTGACGACTCCTCCCTTCTCTTTTGGTTCTCTTTTATGTCCAAACAGATTTCGTTTAATCTTTCATTAATATCTTCTTGGATGGTGACCTTAAACAAAAGGAAGCACAATAACAGAAATAGTGCACCACAAACAAATAAAGAGCCAGCAATCTAAAAAGCCACCACAAGGAGTTTGCCATTGCCTTGTCACAAATACATAGGAAATTAGAGAAAGTATAATAAAACATTGAATTTACTCAAACACAGATTAACCTGAATCAAAGAAATTAAAGTAGAGCATTAAGGTGGATTGGCGGCCTAGTGGTTACAACATAGAGCTTGGAATCCTGAGGTTCTGAGTTTTAGCCCCACTCCCACAGACTGCCACTCTGGGTCACTGAGCAAAGAACCTTAACCTTAAACTGCTCCTGAGGTGCTGCACAATGGCAGCCCACTGTTCCCCAAGGGGATGGGTTAAATGCAGGGATACATTTCATTGCTCTGTACCGTGACAGTGTAATAAAAAAAAGCTGGAAAAAAAGGAACAACCGAGGTGACATTACAGAGAGCAGCCATCAACATTCAGGGCTTACGGGGTCCACTGCTACATGAATACATCTCACTTGACTACAGTATTTTCTTACACTGAAAGATATTTAAAAAGTATATGTAATGTAATGTATTTTTAAATAAATTACAGTGACAGATATGCATTGTGATTATTCTACACATATGCTTTTTTTCCCCACATGTAAAACATATATACATATCTGTAGGTTTTGAGGTATTTTTCTTTCTTTTAAAAGCTATACTCTGATGTACGGTAAATCAATTGCTTTGAAAACAAAACATACCAAATAAAAAAGTTTAGGTCTAGTCTTTATTTTGTAGAATATAAGTAATAAAAGAACATCTAGCAAAATATAAAACAGCTTCACTGTCATCATGCGTACAAAGAGATTAAAAGTTGCTCTTTTTTTTAAGTGGAGATGTATGAAAAAATGGGAAAGTAGAATAACCACACACTACAAGGAGTAACATTGCACAGTGTTACAAATCAATAATGAATATATTACATATTAAATACAGAATATATTGAATAAAAGTGATACACAGATTAAATAAAATAAACTAATTAAAAATAAAAATAAAAAGCGTAGAGATTATAAATACAAAAAAGTTTTTTCATTTCTAAAATATAGAATGTGTAGTTGCAATACAATTATCCTCATTTGCAAAAGTTTAAAGAATAATTTGGTAAGGAAATTATGCTTGATCAGATTTGCTTGATCAGTTTTTATCTTTCTATTTTAGGTGACTTCTAATAGCTTTTAAAAAAAAGTTGAGAAAAGGCTGTGATATATTTTTCTACGGTAACAGAAACCAATCGGATTGATTCTCATGTGTAGAAAAAGAGCCATGGTGGGTTTTTTCAAAAATGGAGTCTAAAATTATTGTATTGCACAGCCTACTGTTTTAAACCATAAGAAAGGTTTTGGTTTTAAACCATATTTCTTAAAAACACATACGACCAAAAATGTATGACATAATTAGCTATGTTAATAGTTTAGATTATTTTTTTCTTCCTAAAAACACAATTTTCCTCACCATATGTCAGCATTACAATTTGACAAGGAGTTTCTTCTGCTCAAACTCTTACTGTAAAGAAGTTAAAACATAAAAAGAAAAACATTAATAGTGAAAGAAATAATTAGAAAGTAATTAAGCAATGCAAACGGGAAAACTATGAACAACAGATTACAGTTTTATTTCTAAACAGTGAAATATAATCAAACACAAGATTGAAGGATATATTTTGCTGTTTTTATCATTCGCTTTTTCTTTTAATGTTTCTGCAATACTACCATTGTTGGAGCCTTAAGCATAAAGATATTCTCCTGTCAGAATGAAAGCTCCTCTCAGATAAATGTAAAGGAAGCTGAGGTTTTTGTACAGCTGCTGAACTGACTTCAGTCACTGTG